TTGTTGTGTGTCAATTTTTTTATTGATAAATCGTTAGGTTGTTTTATCCTGCTTTTTTTAAACGTTAGTTTCGCCCTGTCACTTCATCAATTATTTAAAGGCGTGATGTATGATAGCGTCTACTTTTCACTCTGTTGGCATAAATTAGATTCCCCTTGTATCTAAATTTGAAATGTGCTAGCTTTAAAACACTTTCAGTGTATTACAAAGATGAGTGGTAATGTCGCTGACTACAACACTGCGGTGATGCGGGTTTGAGTCTCAGGTGGGACTTAAGTTCCTTTGGGGTAGCAAATAAACCGTGTAGATGAGTATCAGCAAGTAAAAAACCTAGGTCCTAGAGATTCCTGCCGGATGCCTCCATCTAATTAACAGCCATCAAGTTGTAGAATTGGTTTTTCAATAAACTGGATATGCTACCACAAGATATTGTCCTGGCGAAATCTACCAAAGATGAATGATATAAATCTGCAAACCACATCTTTTTTTTATTGTCTATAAACTTATGAGAGTCTGATATGATTCTAGATAAGCACTACTTGTCTGTGCAACAATTTCTAAGTGTAGTATTCAATCATACATAAGTTAATGTATTATCGTATCCCAATATCTCTGACCCATGGATATTTGGCTTAGCAGCGTATAATGTCAACCTTCAAACAATTGGTTTCAGTGTCAGATTCTACTCAACTTATATGCGCTTAGATGACCATGGAGCATCGTACGCCTTCAAACAACAAGTGTAGTCGATAACCTTTACCAGGTTGAGTTGCATCGTTTCACTCCTCTGTGATCTAGATTGGTTCTGATGGATTCATCTATCGTTTCTCTGTCATAAATCGATTTTATTTAATCAGTGCATTGCTTTCTGTGTTCGGAAGGCTTTCATTCATTCTTTCATAGTTGCTTTCTTCAGTTTTAAAAGTAACTTTAGTGTTCAAGTATATCAGTTTCTGAATATACTCCAGAATAGTTAAGGAGATGCCTTTCAAATGTCAGGAAATACCCCATTTACTCATCATATCGATGCATATAACGTGATACAAAAGTGAATTTGTTCACTTCACTACACCTCAAAACAGCTATAGTAGTAGTGTGAAAAATCAGTATGAAGAAATGTTTAGATTAGAGATAGTAACAGGCATGGAATAAATGCGCTTTCAATAATATTCATTTTTTAAATATACTTTGGCGCCAAATAATGCTGTAGAACTAAAGAATTTACAACTCAAATCGGCAGTCGTGGTGTATGCCATCTATCACAGTCACAGAATCGATATTGAAAATATTAAAATTATTCAAAAAGGTTTTTAAAACTACAAAGAAAGAAAAAAAGCTGAGGCATTTCACATTATGTTCAATCCTAATGCACTCAACAGAAAGGAAGCCCTAGCTATCCAACCACTTTGGACAGTATATCCAAAATAGCACGTCACACACAATGATCATAACAAAAGTACATGCAGACAAACAAACCGAATTTATCATCCATAGTATTTATTCGCACACATTCACATCTTCACCTTGAACCCCAGACTAAAAACAGATAACAAAGATATTATGCCCATTATATTTTCATGTATGAACAGCTTGATCTGATTTGTCACCATTTACTATTTACACAGTCGATAACCTCTACGGGTTTTATTCTCTAAAGAAGCCATTTCCACGAAGTCACAAAACATCAGAAGTTTATTTTTCGACCTCATTAGGATTTTATAAATATATTTCATTTATAATCATAGATTATATTGTCCTATTGAATTATATTCAACAAACTTCCATTTGGTTTTAGGAGTCAATCTAAGTGATTTAGACTTAAGGAATACAAAGGGCATGTTTGTCGTTTTGCTAACTTGCGTCATCTGTGGCGCTTGCTGGTAAGATAGATATCAGACTATCTATCAAAGAACGAGTATACTGCGCTGCAGTCTGTTTTGACATGTCTGTTTGAAGCAGAAGACATGAAGTAGGTTACATGGTTTCGATCTCTGGTGTCTTGGTAGGATAGCTCGTGTTTGGTGGAATCACCGTAGGAGCAATGTTGAGGTCAGGCGAAGGGTACTAGGTAAGTCGGTTGATGAGGTCATGGACCTTCATATCGCCTTAGGTGACTTGGACACGTGTGTTGTGCATGCCCACCTCAACGTGCCATGCTAGTTGATGTTGGATTAGTTTGAAAGATGGTTCAAGGTGGCCAGACCAAGACCTAGCACCAGTCGATGAAGTCTTTTACTGTTGGTCTGAGTTGTGTAGGGAGATGTAGACTGCCTGGTTGGTGTCTCGAGACGAAAGCGATGAATGATTGATAACTCTTGGCGACATGACTGGAAATCGGTCACAATGGCGTAGATGTATTCACTCCTTGACATCTTTTAAAGCTCGAATATTTATTTACCTTCAGATTGCTTATTCTTTCATACAACTATGTATATTTGATATCACTCTGAAATAATGCAGAATATTTGTAGCTCAGGTGGATGGTCTTGGTTGTATTGTGTTTTCTGAGCTGGGTTGTTTAATCGATTTGAACTGATGCATTTATTTGCGAGGTTCTACGTTGATTTTGTCTGTCTGTCTGGGTTGTTCTTACTATCTCAGTTAGTTGTCTTCCTAAGGCAAAGTGATGAGAGTTTTTTTAAACTTTTATAACAAATGGTTTTATCTCGTTCCCAGTGTGATAATTTTAAATATTTTATTCTCATATTAGTAATTTAGTATGAGAGAAGCCAGTTTACAGGCATCATCACATTGATATATGTTGGAAAATCTACACGATTTTACGGGACCTAAATGGTACAGAAAAGAGGTCATTAAATTCGATGAAAAACATCAAAAAATTCCACAAATTATGAAATGAACAAGAAAATACCACTTTTCCGCATATACAGAGTGTTAAAGTTTAGATCGTTTTCAGTCATACCTTCTTTTTCACCGTATGTGACACCAAGGTCGCGCAAAATTCCAAATTTCTGTTACAAGCAGTCTACATATTTAATTCGCCTTCGTAATGCTCCGTTACGCCAGATGATACCGTTAGCGAGAAAGATTTTTGTCTGAATTTATATTGCATAGAATTTGCCAACTTATCCCCAAGCAAATATTTAATTTTAATAATGCTTATAGTTTCTCACACTGTGTGTCTCATTTTGTTCTTGTTATCCAGCCAGAAAAAAAAATTAAAAATGCACATTTTGGCATTTATAATTTCTTTTTCCACAACAATTCTCCCTTCTATCGTGTATACATGCATTAAATTGGTTTAGAATGTGTTCACATTTTCGTAGATATTCTGTTTCATATGTTTATTTACTGATTAGCTGTCATATAACAATAATTCATAACTACAACAACTGAACATGCTGGTTTGCTTTTCTTTGTATTTTCAAACTTCTCATTTCTCCATTTCTATTCAAATCGAAGAAGTCAGTATTTGTAATAATAGTGAGAAATAGATTTAACACTGCCCATTCATAAATTTTACATGTATGTAAAGAAATACTCTCTAACGAGTATTTGTCAGCCTTGTTATCCTCATCAAGATCATTTAAAACTGGATGCAATACTGTAGGCTGTCTGATGTAAGATCTTCTCCTCGATGACAGTTAATTTTGATGCTTAAGATAGTTGGCCATCCATAAGGAGCTTAGGTTTTACTTCCCATCAGTGTTTGATAACATATATTACATAATTCAAATATAAACAAATAATGGTAGTGTAAGAGGGAATGCTGTTTTAAGGTGAGTGACTACTCAAGGGATGAATAGTTTTGAACCCAGTTGCCTTCAAATCACTATTTTGAATGTTTTACCAAGTTTATGAGTTGCTAGTCAACTTTTATTTTCGTCATCAAGTATTTGTTTTATCCCTTATACGAAGAAAAAGCAACACGTATTGGTTAGTATTCCATCCGACCAACTGGTTAGCTCACTTACTTCTGTGCATAGATTGACCATAGCTTTCTAAATGAGACAGTTGGGGACTGAACGATTTGTATTTGGATATTAGAAGGTAAATTTGGTTAATCAATCCAAATAGTGTGGTAGTAGCAGGGTTGGTGGCTTCAGCGTTGTCTGAACATCAACTAGTAAAACAATTGAATGTTAAGTTAAATGATTTCGAAAACTGCACACTTCATCACTTTGATTCACAAACTATCCTATATCAGTAGTTGTAAATTCGGCGACTAGAAATTAGTTACAGTGATTTGCATCCACTCTTTATCTTCATTTACATGTTATGAGTGTTACCATGTGCGATACTTGTTTATTTTAATTCTATTGTTGTTGTAAATTTTTGTCGCGTAATTTTAGGTGATACAAGTCGAAGCTAGGCTATACATCGTTTCATCTGTTTTTTTTCCCTTGTAATTTTTTTTTGCAAACCTTAAGTAAGATAAGCTTTGATTTGTGTGTTTTTCTTTGATTCTTAGATTTGTTTTGTTTGTAAAATACCCATTTACTGATATTGCATGGACTTTAGTGTTTCCACATAACTTGAACAGTAAATCTTTTTATTCACCCTCCTTATATTCTGAAACATTTTATATTTACTGAGAAAGTTTTATGAGTGTGACTTAGCATCCTAAAATATGTGTAAGTTTCGTAGGTAGATTAATATAAGCACTTGTAAATTAGTTAATAGTAGTTGTAGTGTGTAGATTTAGGCGTTTGACTTCTATGTAGTAAGTATATCACTGGTTCAAATCTCATCCACCTATCGTGATCTCGGAAGCCAATTAGTATCACCAACTATCACACAATAAGTGTGATTTGTCGCTTTACTATACGAATGTGCATATGGTTGGTGAATAAATAGCAGTATTTTTCTCAACACTAGTTAGGCGAGATACATTTTGCTGGTTATCGCTAATTTATTTTGGATTGTAAAAGATCTTATCTAATTTATTTTTTGTGATTATGGGAACTATGTCTGATATGCTAGTAGACAAGTGTCTTTGAATATTCTTTTTTTTTTTAACATTTCTTTATCTTACACAGAAACCGTGTCCCGACTCAACAAACTTGGTACAATCATTCCTACTGATAGTGTAAACAGTAATAGTAGTATTATTAGTGGTAGTGCAATACGTTCACGTGGAAAAATTACAGCTGATCAATAAGTTTACCACAGAATGACTTTCGGCATATTGGTCATGTTGGTTCAGATGGTCGAACATTTGGTGAACTTGGTCTAGTTGGTAAAATAATCGATTCAAAGGTGGGTGAAATGTATATGATTTTTTTCTTTATCATAGATATATTGGATTCACCTTTTCTTATGTTGATGGTATGGTTTTATTTTATGCATATGTTTTACTGAACGTGTCTTACGTAATTAATCATATCTGTCAATCTAGATTATATGCCAAAACTAATGCGATTGATATATACTGTACAGGTCATCGGTATACATGACTTTACACAAACTGATTCGTATGAACTTTGATCAACATTTAAGATATGAACATGACTACAGAAATACAAACGACAATATTTAAATTAAGTAGAAATGACGTCCGCGAATTACCTAGATTTACTCCACAAACGTTAATATTGTGAAAATAACCTTTTTACTTCGACACTTGCCCCCAGAGCTGGGGAAATCCTCAAGGAAACTCATTAACACCTAATTAATTAACAATTAAATCGAACGAGTTAGCGTAAGAAAAATACAATCAAAACAAAAGTTTACTTTGTTAACTAATTAATCTGCGTAGGAGAAATCTACTCATACGCATGTACAAGTCAATTAGAAAGGCTGAAAATAATCAGTTTAAAAATAGGTCAGAAATATGGTGGGGAAAATGAAACGTAGACCTAAATGATTCATTTTAAATGTCTAAAGAATTTCAATGAACCACTGGTTATTGAAATGACGGAAAATAAGTTAGTGCTAACAATGATACGTGCATAAAACATTAAGTTTCGGAGAATACCTTAACCGTTATCTCGTGATAAAGGTTAGTGAGTAATAAAATATCCTCCAATTCAGTCGATTGATTACTATATACTTCAAGCCTAACATGAGGAAGTTAAAAAGGTTAAGAATATATTCAACAACGAAGATAGCTTTTGTATTCGCTGAGTCTACAGAGAATTCATTGACAGCTAACTAACTTTTATCCTTATCAACTCTGTATATAATTGAATAACACTGCTAACTTAGAAATGTATAACCAAACTTTAACTTAGTTAGGTAAGGTCTAATCACCAGATGACAAATAGCTACAAATGTGTTTTAGCAGTGTCTAACTATGAAGGGAATACCCAGCAAGTATATAGCGCTAATCAAGGCTTTCTGCTCGAACTCATGCAGCTGTATGAGGGCTTTTGGAGAGTTGTTATTTGAATTGACAACAATTAGTGGTTTCCACCAGGCATGCCTAATTTTCCCGTTTCTATTTAACGTCTTCATAGATGTAATAATGAACACGAGCTTAGGTATGTCTGACTTCACAGGAACTGATCTACTCCCACATATGGAGGTCATCTGGTTGATTTAGATTATGCAGATGATATTTTCCCTGCTAGGTGATGACACTAACAAAATTCAGGGTCTTGTAAAGGCATTGAGCAGAAATCCCAGTACGTTTGGCATGACAAAAAGCAGTGATGTAGAAATCTTGGTAACATGGCATCTAAAACTTGAATATTTGCACTAACTTTTATCTTCAAATGTCTTATTCCGTCACACAACTTTTTCGACTTCGATATCAGTCTTTTTTTCATCCACTTGTTCTTTGTATACCACTGTGAAGCGAGGCGACTTGAAATGATGCACTTGTGTACGGGTTTTCTACGTTGATTTTGTCTTTCTGTCTATATAAAAATCACTGCACAGACAATCAATTCTCGCCATTACTTGGAAGACTGTAGTTCTATTCTCTCTCTCTCATCACCCTCACAAACGTATATGGAATTATCATATGATACCAGGGAAACAATTGTGCTTATCCAACACTTCTTTGCTTGTAGAAAAGATGTCATGTCTTTGTGGGCTAAGACCTGAGTGAATTCTTTGAATATGAGTTGATCTTTCAGCAGCTTCTGATCGATTGACTTTTTGCATATAGTGTTCAATGACATGTACTGTGACGTAACGCCTTAAACTAATGGTCAAACAACACTCATTCATCAAGAAAATTTAATAACCTTTTATTGTTCATGGTTAGTACTACTTTGACAACAAATTTAGTTACTGACTGGATATTTTAAGCGTACGACATTGTGCTACATTAAATTCGTAGAAATAAAGCGATGTAGATTCAAGTTTCAATTTACAATGGTATAATGTAACGTCATAGCTGAGTAACACTTAATTTATTCAGTTACTTCATTTTCCATGTAAATTAAGGGTAAATTTAAAGCATCGGTCTTCGTATCACAGGTACGATTAGTATTGTTTTATGAGCCGAAAAATAGGACACGGTGATTCTCAAATAAGTATTATCAGTCGCATTATTTTAAAATGTATTCTATTTGGGACTCATTCGACAGTAATATAACATAGCTCGGTTCAAGAGTTCTTCATTGATTCATCTTCATCTGTATAGACTATAAACTCTGAAATCATTGCCTGTTGAGTGAAATTAATAACTGTGTGTATTAGCCCAATTTTTGTGCATGAAATCAGTTGTTTCATTTTTATGAATTGTGGGTGCATCCTGGACAGATGACTCAGATTCACAATATATGCGGACACTAGAAACGATTGTATTATGGTGTATGAGATTAACCGGTGGGAAAAGTTGTGTATGTCATCGAGTGGGTGAATTGAACATACTAGGCGAGGTTAATCACCTACACGGTCAGCGTTTGGAGTGAATTTGGAAAATTGCATATGTTAGGCAAATACTAACTACCAGATGCAGATATGACAGATATATTTGTCAAAGATAGAAAAGATTTGAAACAAACAGTTTAAAAGATATAGTTATTTTATTATCTGAAACTTGTGAAGGCCTATATCCTCAAATAAAAGACATGTCTTTAAGAAGACTAAGCCAGAAAGTGAATTGTATAATCAAATTTTCATGTGCCTGAGAAACTAATCATGTTAACGCATTCAAAGCAACATTATTCTTGTATATTGATATGACCATATGGGTAGAGATGCAAACGAATTGTTGTCGTTCTTCAACAGTATATTACTTCAGTCTCTAAGACTTCTATGTTGCCTAGGTTATTTCAAGGGAATTCATGTTAACCAATACAACTGTAATTAGGATGAAAAACACCAATGATCATAGTAAATTTTTTAGACAATTTTATGACCAATAGGTACTCTTTCCGATGGAGTTTTCATTTATTGAACTAATAATGTAGTATGTATTGGACAGTTATTGCAGGGAATTCTTCGACTTCCTAACAATGCTGATTGCTGACTTCTTCTGAGAAATCCTGGGACATCTTATTCCCATCTTTCTATGTTTCTAATGGTTTACATCGTGTTGTTGTGATCAGTTTTTATCTAAAGTAATGTGTTATCACACCAGCTGATTTAGTGAAAACACTAACGTCTTATGCCGAGCCCAAAAGTTGTCATTTTCTGAATTGGTAAACAAGAATGTACAGCACTTGAAAGTGAACGGACAATATAAACAACAGAATTAACAAGTCACTAGATCAGCTTGATCTGTAATTAGTCGATATCATCACTTTGAATATTGAAACCTAGAAATGTTTTCTGTGTGTCAATCCGTCACAGCCATCCTACAAACCTCCTTATAGCATCAGACAACGACCTTATTGAATATCCCCAGTTGAATAAATCGGAAGTGAGAGTGACAACACCAGCTGTATGCCAACCTAGAAGTTTAATCGTAGAATATTAGAAAATGTGATTACTTTATGCACAATTTCAGAGATAATTCACAGTTGTATTGTCTGTCACTTCAAACCTGTCTTATATAGTTTAACAACTTGAATACTGCAGCTTAAAGAGTGGCGTATACTGATTTTACACTTCATTAGTTAGCATAAGTTTGTGATGACGGGATAAATCTGTCAGCGCTATTATAATAATACTACTATTCGCCTGCAGCGATGAGATGTAGTTAACACCGACTTTTAACACGACACTTATGATCTATCGACGTTTGGTATTCTATGGCTAGGCTCTCCATTTTATGCTAATTGGTTAGCTACATGTATCTGTGTTTATGTGTGGTATTAATTGTCTTCTATTGGTTAGTGTTTCTCCTAATGTCTATACTGCAATAGAAATAAAATATTTGTTATCAGTTGGAATACTACTTCCTACTTAAGAAATATGTGTGCGTGTGTGTAAGAGCTTACCAGTTTCTCATCTACTAGTTTATTCTTAATTTCCTCTCCATTAGCCAGTTCGTTGTTGCTTAGTGTTACCTTTCCTTCCTCTAATGAATGAGGTAGCATTCTCGATCCTTGTGGAGGTAGGTATGCATATATGTGTATGCGTCTCGATTATGAAATGAAGTGTAACTCTCCTTTTTATGTGCTTCTCCGTTTATTGCCAATAAAGTAACCAACTTACCAGTTGAACAATATCACGAATCCTTGATTGATAGCAAAACATGAGTTTAATTATAAAACTGAATGTAAGTAAACTTGATTGATTTGGCTAAATAAAATGCATTGAGTAATAAGAAATAGTTAACGAAGAGGGATGAACCTTAAGTCTTCTGTTTATTGCTGCACATCATGAGACTTTTTTAGAAACTGTACAGAACATGATGCTCGACTGCAAACTTGATTAGGCTACAGTTAACGACGTTAGCATGTAGCTAAGTGTGCATATGATCCGTAACGTCTCCGATAGTGATTCACATGGTTTTAATCCTCTTCAGCGTTGCAACCACGCCTCGTAGATGGACTTGCAACAAGCGCAAATTTTTTCAGTCAGTCTATGAAGTGTCTCTACAATTTAATCAGCAGAATGTTGTTAATTACTTTTCTGTGCCCAACTGTCCAACGTATTGCACTGATGACCTATTTGTTAGTTTGTATTATCGAGTGTCTTGTGTATTCCCAGTGTATCTTTTTAAATCACACCATAGTAACTTCGCTAGACTGACAAATGCTTGTTGATTCAAACTGACCATCATTCTTATCGTCTATGATATGTTCTGTCTCAGTATCT